TGTTTCACTCAGATGGCTCATTTGAAAGGCACAAAGCTCAATTAATAGTTCATGGATTTACACAAACCTTTGGTGTTGACTACAAGGAGATCTTTACTCCTGTGGCTAAAATGAATACTATGAAGATCATATTATTTATTGTTATTAACCATGCATGTCCTTCATACCAGATGGATGTTAAAAAATCCTTCTTGCATGGAGATCTTGTAGAGGAAGTTTACATGAAGCTTCCTCTCGGCCACCTTTAATCGCAAGATTCGAGTTTTGTTTGTAAGCTTCATAAATCCATTTATAACATAAAACAATCTCCTTGTGCATGGTATGCCAAACTAAGCTCTGTTCTTGAAGCAATTAGGTTCAAAGGCATTAATGGTGACTCTTCTCTTTTTGTTCGCACTGGATCATTGGGCAAGTTGATTGTCCTTATTTATGTGGATGATTCTATTATTACAGGTGATAATGTTGATGAAATTGAACTCTCAAAGGTTCTCTTCGACGAAAGTTCGCTATAAAAGACCTCAATTTCCTGAAATATTTCCATGGCATTGAAATTGCTACTTCTTCAAAGGTTTTATTCCTCAACCAAAGGAAATATACTCTCGATTTCATCCAAGAAGCTAAAATGGAGGACTACAAACAGCTAGAACACCTCTTGATAGCAAACTCACAATAGATATGGGCAATGATCCTCTTGACAATATGAGCTACTATCAACGTTTAGTTGGTAAACTTATTTACCTCATTATAAATAGACCTAATATTACATTTGGGTAAGTCAATTCATGCATTCTCCAACTACAGCCCATCTTTAAGTGGTTAAGTGCATTCTGCGGTGCCTTAAGGGTTCTATCGGTCTAGGTATTCTTATAAAGAACAACTCAAACACAGATTCTCGGCTAAACAAATGCTGACTGGGTCGGGAACTCTCTTGATCGCAAATCAACCACTGGTTTTTATACATTTATTGGAGGCAATTTGGTTACGTAGAAAAGCAAGAAGCAAACCTCGATTGCGATCCCATTGCAAAGGCTGAGTATAGGGCTAACATGTGAACTTATTTGGCTCAAGGGCCTTCTATCTTATTTAGGGCTTCCCAGTTCTCAACCAATGACTCGTGTGTGTGACAATCGGGCTGCTATGCACATTTTCTCTCACCCCAAGAAGTACTCACCTGGTTTGTGTATGAGGTTGATTGTCACTACATTTGTGCTTAAGTTCAGTCCAAGGTTATTTAAACTCACTACACTCGTAGCCAAGATCAACCAGAAGATCTTTTTACCATAGCTCTGCCTCACTTTCAAGGACTGCTTTTCAATCTTGGCTCAGTCAATCCGTTTGATCTAGCTTGAGGGAGAGTATTGGAAGTTACTCTCCTACTTTACAATAGTCCTGTGTGCCTTAATTCCAGGAGCGTGCCTTAATTCGAGGAGAGTTGCTATCATTTCCATGTCCTGCAGTTTAAGGTTAACTCAAGGAAGAGATTGAGTGGTTTGTACACAATCTTTGTACGTATCTTTTACTTTGTAGCTTCTGTTGGGAATTTACTTAATCATGCACAGCGGAAATAAAATAATTTTCAATTCCCAAACGAGGATCTGCAATGTGTTTAGATAGAAACTGTGATGAGAATGATACCTTTGATGAATTCCACAAACTCTTTTGCTTTTTCTT